TTCCTGCATATGGTAACGTTGACCTCGGTAAGGGGCCAAAAACCCCGGTTGATTGGCGTACCCAGAGTCGACTAAATAAAACTTACCTGTCATATTAAGTATGTTAAGTATTAAAGTTAACGTATTTGTAATGTAAAATGCACAAATATGAAAACTTAATATTTTTACCTTCGGGTGGTGATGGAAAATTGAAATCCTCATTCTGAATGCACTCATTTAAAATCTTCGAATCATTAGCAGACCCTTCCCACCCTGCTAGAATGTATGTGAATTTCATATCAAATGAACACACGGCCATGACATTTTGAGTCGTATCACCCTTTCGACCACGAAAGGGTATTTGTTGGTCAACTGGCACTACAGCATGGATATGAGTACCATCTATGGCTCCTACACAATTCTTAAAGTATGGGTAAAACTTTGGATTGTTCTTTATCTCTTTAGGAATTTCATTCAAATCCGGGGGAACAATAATCTTAGTCCCTAACTCACAAATTAACTTTAATACAGTATGAAAGTGATATGAAATTGTGGATGTAGAGTGTTGGAATCTTTCAGCAACGACACGATTCCTTTCATTGTGAGACACGGTAAGTAGGAAAATTGCAACTTGTTCTTCCACCGTTAGAAATGTTGAATCTTTCAATCCTAACAATTTCAACTCACGACACAATGCCCTAAAGGTGTTGGGGTACATCCGAAAATTTTCATAACACCTATCTTCATGTCCATTTAAGACCTCGAATATGTAATCTTCCCCTTGTAACATGGAATCCCTACAACGTTGTTTATCAAAATGTTTATAATAGTACTCATATACGGCTGCGATCAATACAAGAATTTCCTCCTCATCATCATCATCATAAATGGTTAATATTGTCCTTATATCCATAGCTACTATCCTATTTAAGAATAAACAGAAGCAGTTATTGTAACAAAAATGAAGCAAAATGGAAAAGACATACCAAATCATACAATTATCCAGCAACAATGTAAAAGCAATAGATGTAGAACATAAATAGTTTTCCAGCATTAATTTAAAAGCAGTAGATAGAGGAATTAAATATAGTCTTCCAACAATAATGTAAAAGCAGTAGATAAGAAAAATTCATTACAGTCATCCAACAGTAATGTAAAAGCAGTTATAAAACAGTCATCCAAAAGCACATAAAAGTAAGATACCGAAGAAATCATAGAGGCTGATTCATCACCCACCCAACCTTCCTTTCATCAGGAATGCGAAGAAATATATCCCTCCACACCTTGTCCTCACCAAACATCCTTATGATCTTAGCATAATGGGTATCATCAATCCCCACTAATGTGTTGACGATCTTGACGCACTCTTCAAGCTGGGGATCCATTTCTTTTTCTTTTTTACTGGGAGATGTCACTTCAGGCATTTCGGTAAATCGAGATGGTTGACAACTAGAAGATGATTCTGCTATGGCTTTTGCAATTTTTTCAGCTTTTGCGTTCCCAATATTAGTCAAACATTCCATCACTAAAGACATTGTTTCTGAAAAAGTTTCTTTCTTCTGTTTCTTAGCTATAGGTTTGGGAGTAGGACTGAGGTCAATAGGTCCTTCTACATTAGGTCGTTCTACATCAGTCATGCCCACATTGCCCTCAATGTTATGAATTTGAGCTTCATGTGTTGCCACTTGAGGCATTGTTAGCACTTGGTGAGGTCTGGGTGGCTTTGTAGAAGGATGAACATGCTTGCCAGTAGCATGTGTATTCCCAAAAATCCTTGACATCTGCTCATAATTCTTACACCCCTGTTTTTTTATTTTTTTTCCATGCTTGAGAACCTACACGTTATCAACTTACAATTATTGTTCATCAAACCATTTTAATACTAAATCACTAATTACTTACTGTATGTATGGTAAATAGACACGTATTGAAATACTAACCTTGCACAATCGAACCCATCTTTCAGCTTCCAAGTTAATCATTCCAGTTTCACTGTTGTACCCTACACCAGTCTCAGATAATATTTGTTTGCAATCTTTGTACAATGCTCTTATATTATTGAATTTTTGTCTACATTGGTCCTTCGTGTACTTCTTTCCAGTTTCTAATAACATTGCGTCCACAATATGTGTCCACCCATTTGGATTAAAAGTCGTGCCTGTACGATTTCCTTTTCCAACCTCTTCCTCCATCAAGAGCATGAATTTCTCTTGATGGGCATTACACCAAACAGCGGCATCGGCCTGTTCAACAACTACAACATCCTCACCATTGTCACCATCAAGAGAATGAATGTCTCTTGATGGGTATTGCTCAACATTGTCATTGTTCATGTCCATCTGATTATTATTAAGTAATTGAACATTTTAGTATATTGAATTGTGTTTTGACTCATAATTCAACACGTCAATGATAAGTAAAAAATGTACTGTCTATAAAACACTTCATCTCACGAAGAGCAAGGTGAAGGAAAGTGGTATATAGCAGTACAACACACAAGGTACTGTCTTTATCTCTTTACGAAATTTCAGGGAAATATTATTGCAAGTACATTTCACAGAAGTAATACCTCTGGATGGCAACAATCATATTTTTGTTTCAGATGTGTGCATAATATACTGAGAGAATATTCTAATCATTTAGTGCATGGTGAGTGTTCCAGTAAATAAATGTATAATAGTATTCTTTAGGCCATTCTTTAGAAACTTAATTGCAACCCTATGAATTTTTGTATAATATCAACAAATATGCGAATGTGAATTGACAAGATTTGACAAATTATCAGTGCATTTTTTTCAAAGAGATGTAAATGTTTATTCTTTTTCTTATATTACCAATGAATATTCAAATATTCAACAAGCGATTCGTTCTCTATTTAGTTATGTGAACAAAAGTTCGTGTTCCTCTTCTGTTGATTTAATTTCTTTTTTGGATTCTTTGGGGCCTTAGACCCCGGTTTATTTTATGTCTACGGGACGAGTTCCCCTATTGAACGCCTTTTTAAATATTATTACTTATAAAAAATATAAAATAATAAGGCTATTCTTTTTAATAAATTAAATTCAGTTTTAATGCATTTCTTGTGGAAGGGTAGTTCTTTAATGAATGCTGGTTCAAAAGTAGCTTCGGAGGATGTTTGTTACCCTAAAAAGGAAGGTGGTTTGAGTCTTTGGAGTTGAATGCTTGGAACAGGGCCGCTATGGCTAAGAACTTATGGGAAGTTATTCAACTGATGCCTCAATCTCTATGGACTGAATGGGTTAAAGTTCATCTCCTTAGAAATAGAGACTTTTGGTCTATTAAAATTCCTCAAAGTAGTTCTTGGAGCTGGAGGAAAATCTTACAAATTAGAACTAACTTTAGAATGTTTATTATGCATCAAGTGGGTAAAAGGACACACACTTGGTTATGGAATGACTATTGGCTCCCTATGAGCCCTATTGTGATGAGAATAGGTAATAGAGTCATCTTTGACTCAGGTTTACAATGAACAAACAACTGTGGCTGATATTATAGTTAATAACCACTGGCAGTGGCCTCAAACCAACACCCTTGAGCTTATTGAGCTAAGGAATGCCATACCTTCAGATTTCCAGCCTTTCTAAATAATGATCAAGTTATTTTGTTACCTAGTAAGGGGTAGTTTACCATTAAAACTGCTTGGGAAAATATTAGACCTAAGAAAAATGTTGTTGCTTGGAATGAGACTGTTTGGTTTAAAGGAGCTATTCACAAGCATTCTTTTATCTGTTCGAAAATATATATTGGCTGTAGATTTCATCATCCTAAGTTTGAGAATTTAAAAGTTGATGAATGTTTAAATTTTATCCTTTTGTCGAATCTTTTGTCCTCCCATTTGTCCTTAAATAATATAATACAACAAATTGATCATTCAAACAATTTAATAATTTACAAATATCAATTTTAATTTTGCTTTTTAATGTACGATCAAGCCTGATATGATATAAGAGCCTGTTAGGTTGATTTATACATAATACAGATCCTTTGCAAAATTGTAATTTGGACCAAGAACAGATCTTGAAAATATCGCTAAAATCGATAGTTATAATTAACTCAGTCAACATTCTAATTGCTTCCACATTGCAACACACACAATCGATGGATGACATATAAACCCTTATATCAGAACAATGGTTGATAGAAGAAACAACCCAGAAACAGGGCTAAAATCAAACCCTCTCATGAAACTTGTGATCTGGACACAAATGCCCTAAATTACAACACTCACAACATGATTCGAATAAAGATCAGAACTTGGAAACGCAATAAAGATTCTGATTGTCACAATATTAGAGAGAGAAAGTGAACACGAGGACCTCCCAAATGTAAATCTCAAAAGCGAAGATATATGTGATCTATAGATACAAACAGAGACACAAAATGACGTACCTGGTGGAGGAGCTCTGCCAGATCGGTGGTGGAGAAACTTGAGATCTGGACACAAATGCCCTAAATTACAACACTCACAACATGATTCGAATAAAGATCAGAACTTGGAAACGCAATATAGACTCTGATTGTCACAATATTAGAGAGAGAAAGTGAACACGAGGACCTCCCAAATGTAAATCTCGAAAGCGAAGATATATGTGATCTATAGATACAAACAGAGACACAAAATGACGTACCTGGTGGAGGAGCTCTGCCAGATCGGTGGTGGAAAAGGTTGGATCGCCACTGAAGTCGCCTTTCAGGGAGCTACGCGAAGAGAGAGAAACGATGCTGAAAAATGACCTAAAATCTGATATGCGACCTTATATACATGATATCACCGCTACAGTATAAACGAGGATTGGTTTGGTTTTGGTTTCAGAACAATTCACCGACAGTGCCATATATCACCAAAATGTTGATATGGGTTTTGGCCCAAAAATGATAATGTTTTGGCACTGTTAAATACCATATCAGCCCACTCCAAACATGATATTGGCCCAAAACTAAAATCAAAACACCAAAACAATATCAGATATGGGCCTCCGAACAGGCCCTAAAAGAACCGAAATTTGTTAATTTCCGAGACCATATTATTTTACTCTTTTTTTTTTTTTTTGGTTAAAATATTATTTTACTCTTTGTTTCTTTCTTTCTCACAGTAATTTCTCTGAAACCAAACACTTTCTCCCCAGAAATCGAAGATCAGGGTTTCTCGAATTTGGCTACCATAGAGGGCGTCCTTTCCAGTAAGTTATTTCAGTTTTTGGATTCATAATTTCATTTCATTTCATATTTTTTGTAAGATTCCACATACACACAGTGACACACATACACATATATGTATATATTGCTATTTGGAAGTATTTATCTTACAATATTAGCTCAAATCATAACTTTTGAACTTTCAGTTGTTTCTCAAATCATTTTAGAGAATGGGTGTTCATAATTGTTGTAAAGCTTTGCCTTTTCGTATACTAAACACTGTGAAAGACACCAATAAACATGGCAAAGGCGGTGTCAGATTTATTTATTTATTTTTATGAACAGTTAACTTTTTAACTGAAGTTTTGGGCTTGTTAGTTGCCCTTGAAATTTATAGTCTTTTTCGGGAATGAAGAGGAATAGAAGAAATTTGAAGTTGGGATAACACATTTTTGAACTGAGCTCAAGTCTGAGTCAACTCTTTGGGGAAACAGAGCTATATCCTTACAGTTAATGTGTATATTTTATGTACCTAGTTCGACAGAGTTGAACCCACATTACATGTTTCTTTATGGCTGTAAATTATTGCTGAGACAAGATTATTGTGGTAAATATATTTGTTTGACAAAATCAAAGAAAAATAAATAATGTAAGAAAGAAGTTGCTCTTTACATCTTTGGGTAGTGAAAAATTTTATGGGCCTTAAGATAATAGTCCATGTTCTTGTGTGACAGTGGACTTAGATGTTGGAGCAGGGACAGTGAATGATGCTGCTGGAAGGGAATTGGTTGAAAGTGAAGAAAGTGTGATTCAAGAACCGTATGTTGGAATGGAGTTTGAAACTGAAGATGATGCCAAGAAATTCTATGATGAATATGCAAGACATGCAGGATTTGTAATGCGTATTGATCAGTGCCGTCGCTCGGAGGTTGACAGGAGAATTCTTTCCAGGCGACTGTCATGTAATAAACAGGGTCATTATGTCAAAATGAGAGATGGATTTGGACCCATTAGAAAGCCACGGCCTACCACACGAGAAGGTTGCAAAGCGATGATGTTGGTAAAGGTAAATAAGTCTGGTAAATGGGTTGTAACGAGATTTGAAAAGGAACACACTCATCCACTAGTCATATCTGGCCGTCCTTCTCGTAATGCCATGGTGAGTTTTCATTCTATATATAAGTACAAACTTTGGATGTGTAGTTAACTGATTCGTTCATGCTATTTCAAATTCAATCATTTTATTTTTGTGCTTGATATTTAAGGTTTTTCCTTTTATTACACTGCTCAAATTAGATTTTAAGCTCTGTAGGTTTTGTACTCTTTTAGGAATACCAAAATCCACATTTTACATTGAAGAATAAAACAAGAGAACAAGTCTTTGAAGAAGTTTATATATCTTCAGTTCTTCTTATCCAATTTGTTATCAACATCAATACTTTGGACTTCCCAAATTTTGTAGTAAATAGTTGGCTGCTCTTTGGACTTCCCAAATTTTGGCTTTTGGGTTTGCTTTTGGAGTCACCAATCCTTTGTTATTGTCCTTTTCTGGTCTTTATGTTTGCTCTTTCCTTGCTGAAGAGATCTCCTCCTCCTCCTCCTCCTCCTCCTCCTCCTCTCCCTCTCTCTCTCTCTCACTCTCAATACCTTCTGTCTCCATCAAGAGTAGTACCAAAGGGTATGTTCAACCCTTACAGATTTCTTTCTAGTTTCAAGCATACACAAAATTTTGATTATTATTATTATTTTTAAGTGATGTTCTTACTTCAATGATATAAATTAGATTAGTTTCTTTTATGGGTTCAATTTATTCTACATTGAGGGGCCATTGCTTGGTGTACTGCTAAATGTTCGGGTCGCCAAGTGTGAAAAACTAAGAATACAACTTCAAGTTTGAGACAACCATTTTTGTGCAAAAAATGTCAAAAGTTAGGTCTTTGTCCAGTTTCCCCCTCCATCACTCTCGATGAATGTGGATTACATAGAACAATGGCCCCTTTTTTATTTGAATTAGTGTAAATTGGATCTTATGGTGCAAAACATGAAGCCAATCCATGAAAGACCAACATGGAGCCAACATAAATTATCAATAAAAGTCGGACATGGAGCCAAATGTAGCTATTTCTTAGAATCAATTCCATATTGAACTTTGAACTTGGGGTTGACAACCCAACTTAAGTATGTAATTTACGCTTTTAAGGTCTCCTTTCATGTAAATGAAAAACCAACATAAATTATTAATTTAAGTTAATACATAAAACTTTTACTTGTAAGGTATTAAGTCTTCAACTTGGTTGGCCCTCTTTATCCAAAGGTGTACTACAAAACTAACCTCTTCCCAGTTCCTTAAATGTGTATACCTGAAATCAACTTGATAAGAATAATGAATTAAAAGAAAAGAGAAAAAAAAAAAATTTACCTGATGAATGATCAGTGGTGCTCTAGTTTTCAGTGCAAACTAATCTAAGTTGCATTCCTATCAACGTTAACCTCAACTCGGCTATACATTATTTTTGCTGTCACAAAAATTTATTTTTTGAGCACCATGCCATGTCATATTCTTCTTTGGAGGATATAAGATAATTTTTATTAATCTCGGATGCCTGTTATGCCTGGAAAATAGTGACGAATATCTCGTATTAGGGCTATTATAGAAAGAATAAACACCCACAAGATGAAAATGTCACTGAAGTAATCTGATAGTTTATTTAAAGTACTTCGAATAGTATATCTACAGTTGGATTAACTATAAGAACATTTACCTGTAGGTATATAGTTTACAACTTGCGGATACATCTATATCTATTACTTTTTAGTATGTGTGCAGTTGGTTTAAATGTGAGTTTACTCTATAAATATTTTCAATAAGTAGGCCCTTGCACTTCAGCAAAAATATGTACACGGGAGTCATTCTTCGCCCCAGGGAGGTGTAGCCGTCGATGAGGTGGGTGATGTTTCGGGGCCACAACGCACGTTCGGCGTGGTGAGATTGGTGTGTCCACCGGTTCTGATTCATAGAGAAAGGGTGCCAGACCCCCTGGCTCCTCCGATCTCAAGGGCTTGATTGCTTAGCTCAGGTGGTGTTGAGGCCACCTCTTCACTTTTATCGGTTCCACTTCCTTGCTTAGTTTCCTGGGGAGGGGTGTTGTTTGCCTCTGAGCAAGTCTAGGTTCTAGAGGTTAGACTATATATATATATATAAATTGAGTACTTCCTCATACCTGAGCCCCCCGACCCCCTTTTTTTAGGTCAAGGAGCTGCATCTTGAGTCTTTTGGGGGTCTCGATGAGGGTTCATCGCCATTCTTACTAAGTAATCTACAAAATTTTGTTCCAAATTATGATCCGTTTCCGTCAATTGAAGGAATGACGCATCGTTCAGTTAGACTTTGACTTTCTCAAAGGCTTGGTGAGTTGCTTGAAGAGGTCTCAGGTTGATGTTCAATGAGTTGAGGCGTTGGTGGAGAGGGTGAGGGCGCAAGAGAAGGGGTGGGTGAGGGCGCAAGAGAGGGGGTGGGTTCTTACTTCGGAGTTTCAGGATCTCTGGGGTCGTATTTGGGAGAGGAGGGGGCAACTCGAGGCCAACAAGGCTAGGCTCCATGAATTGGCAGCAGAGGTGGCACATGACAGAGGCGACATCAGGAGGCTAGAGGAGTATGCTCATGTCAAGGAGAGTCACTTAGAGGCCTCTTCTTTTAGACTGACTGATTTGATGTAGATTTGTTATGGCTATATGCGGCTTCTATATGCCGCTTATTTGAGATGTTTAGCTTTTGGTTATGGCTATATGCGGTTTCTATATGCCGCTTATTTTGGATGTTTAGCTTTTTGTTATGCCGTATGCGGTTTCTATATACTGCTTTTTTGGGATGTATGCGCGTATTTATGTTCGTACTTGTTATTAGGTGTTACTTTGGGTGACTGACACAGTTTCACTACTCTTTTTGGTGTGTGTATATATATAACATATGTTTTATCCTATGTTCTTTTGCCCACCTTGCTATTCCAGTTACTTACCTCATTTAAACAGCGTCAACTAGGTAGTTTACTTATAAAAGGCATTTTTTTCTTCATAGGCTTACCTCTCTACAGATAAGCCTCAACGCCGGTTAATAATTATGAGGACATCCTCTTTACGGATAAACCTCTTTTCCCCTCTGGGAGTTCGTCCACAGATAAAACTAGAGGGAGCTCTGACACATGCGGAGCTCCTCTCTATGGATAAATCCTGGAGAAGAGTTCGAGACCTTCAGGGAGCTCCTCTCTATGGATAAATCCCAAAGAAGAATCCAAGACTTTCGGGGAGCTCTTCTCTACGGATAAACCCTGGCGAAGAGTTCAACTCCAACCATGGGTAGAGCAATCATGGGATAGATCCCGTGGTTAGCGTGGGGCTTGACCTCACAGAATTATTTCCGGAATGGGACACCCGGGGTATTGGCCTGGTGCTGAGCACTAGTGGGAAGCTGAGAGACACCCTTCATGGGTTGAGTGCGGGGCGCCTCTCGGCCTGTCACAAAGGAATAAAGAAGAGGTGATCTCTTGAGAGTCAGATGTGGACTTAGAATAGCATTTAATGAGAACCTCTTTGGGTCATAGTTGGCATTAAATGCCTGATCCCTACTCCGTCAAACTAATTAATTGCTACATAGGGTATGGGGGCTTGATGCCAATTAGGCAAATAGCAATCAGGTAATTGCTTGGACCAGCGGTCCTTGCCCAATGATAGAGTAAATAAAAAGAGTGAATGACAGTTGAAAAATAAGAGACTTAATGCCAAATGCACTGACTCTATGGTGATCACTAAAAGTTTAACCCACAACCTCTTCCTTGCTTCTCCACATGAGGACCCTGTGTGACAGGTCAGCGCTCCACTTAGGCCTCTATTTCTCGGTACTGTCATTGCTGTTAAAGTGGTAGCCCTTGCACTTCAGCAAAAATGAGAGTCTCTATTCTAAGCACGACACATACACTTCTTGTTGAAGGTTGTTTGAGTCTTTACTGGAGAAATGGATGGTTATATGAACTTGGAGCACCTGGCAATCACAATTTCTCTTCCCTTTTTACCATGAAACAAGGCTGGGCCACCTACATCCTTGAACCAATAATTATCTTCCAGCCAACCTAGGTATTCTCAACCTACCCTTTGCTTAGGCTTCAGGATCAGGTACCTTTTTGTTGAAGGTTGTTTGAGCTTTTCCTGGAAGCATGGCATGAGTTACTTTAGTGGTTAGCACTACGCACTTGGTACTCAAACATTGACTCAAGGTTTTATGTTTGCCTCTTCTTACCCTGAAAAAGTAGGAATTATATGTTTTGGGGGGAAAATGTGGTTTTGTTGGGAAGCAACTTCAATGAAAATTACTCTAGTGGCTTCTGGAGTATCTTTGATGGTGTATATTTAAGGTCTCAAAACAGAAAGTAATTTTTGCCAAAATGACAGGGCTGTAATTTCTGCCAAAATAATCCCTTTCAACTTCTGAGAAAGCAAAAGTGTAATGATATGGACCATATGGTCTGTGCTTTCTGCCAAAGTAATCCTCTTTCAATACTAGTGTAGCTTTTGCGGGATGCATTCCACGTTTGAACGCTTTCTAATACAATCTTACTTATATATATATATATATAAGCAATTATCTTTCAACTTCTGAAAATGATTTTTTAACAATTTGGGAAGGCAACAGGGTCAACTCATCTTTTAAAATTCTCTTCTCTTTTTTTTTTTTCTCCCCAGGAAAATCATTTGTGTTTTATCACGGTTCCTCATTTTCTGAAATACAATGGTTTTATAGGAGTGATATATCATCGTGATAAGAGGCTTTAAGCACTAGAGAAATAGTTCATATGTAAAAGTTCTTCTGTGACTTTGCTTCCAAACTTACCCTCAACTGCCATTTACCAGAATACAGTATTGGTCTCTTGAGTTGGCTCTTGCTTCTTCTAGTCTTAAGCATTCCTATGAAGAGAAACAGATGAGAAAATAATATATAGAAAGTAGTGATCGGTTTGTAATTTCTTCCAATATAATTCCTCTCTCTACTTCTGAGAAAGTGCAAGTGTACGATTCGTCTGTGATTTCTGTCAAAGTAATTATTCTCTTACAACTTCCGAAAATGATTTTTAACAATTTGTGAAGGCAACAGGTTAGCTCATCTTTTAAAATTCTCAAATTTTCTTCCCCAGAAAGTCATTTGTGTTTCATTATGGTTCCTCATTTGCTGAATAAGATGCTTTTATAGGAGTGATAAGAGGCTCTGAGCACTGGAGAAATTGTTCTATGTAAAAGTTCTTCATCCATGACTTTGCTTCCAAACCACCCTCTATTACCACATACCAAAATACAGTTTAGGTATTCTGAGTTGGTTCTTTCTTATGGTTTTAAGTATATTCTAATGAAGAGCACCGTTTGAGAAAATATTATATAGGTGCTGTGTTAATACATTTTGTATTATCTTGTGTTGAAATATCTTTATTATTATTTTTTTTATTTTTATTAGCTGTTTTTAGCCTTTAATTAGATGTTTTATGTAAGACCCCTATAATCATGGGATCACGTAGATAAGATCCCTATAATTATGGGATCCCGTAGATAAGATCCCCATAATCATGAGATCCCGTAGATTTTGGCATATTTTATGTCTTTCTTTGATTTGGTTTCCTTTCTTTGTACTCTATTCTTGTATATAAATATAGATCTTGGCTCTCAGTTTGAGTAAGCCAAAACTCAAAACTTTTTTTTGGTATCAGAGCAAAACAAAAACCTTCGCCTCCCCATCTTCATCCCCAACGCCGCCACCTTCTCTCTCCCTCTCTCCATTTTCCCTCACCTCCAGCGCACCTCCATCTCTTCCCAGCCCTTGCACCGGACCCCTCAGGTAACCCTCTATTTTTGACTCCTTTTTTAGGAGAATTCCCTTAGGTTTTTTAATGATATAAGGGTCCTTCTAGGGTGTTTTTTTTTTTTTTTTTTTGTGGGCTGCTAGTGTTTGTTTGGCAGCATATTTGGTGGAAAGCGCCGATTTTTCCGGCCTTATTTTTTCTCTTTCCTCCCTCTTCGACGTGTGGACTAACCTTAGTTTGGTACTATGAGTGATTCTAGTAGCCAAAATGACACTTTATCTTTGGGCCGTGGCCACACTGTCGCAATAGCCGATATTATTGGTGGGTATACTACTACACAGATTGTTGTCCCTCCTGCTTCAACTCCTCCCAGATCATCTTTTCAGGACTTCAAACAGTTACAGTCCCAGATTGGTTAGCTTCAGGAGCAGTTCGGAGCCTTATCTACCAGGGCCGGCTCTTCTACTTCCACGACTACTATAGTTACAGGTACTCCTTTTGCTTATCATGTTAAAGCGGGAAAACCTACTTGGGTTCTGGATTCTGGAGCCAATGATCACATGACTGGTGAGTTGTCATTATTTTCTACTCCAGTTACCCCTATTAATCAGGTTGTTAGTCTAGCCGATGGGTCAACCACCATTATTTGTAGCAAAGGAAGTGTTCATCTATCCCCTGATATTATTTTGCCATCTGTTCTTTATGTTCCTAACTTTGCATTTAATCTTCTATCGGTTAGCAAGCTTGCCAAATCACTAAATTGTGCAGTGATTTTCTTTTTTCATTACTGTGTTTTAAAGGACCTGTGTTCGAAGAGGATTTTTGGCAGGGGATATGAGCACGATGGCCTCTACTACTTTGGGGATCCTCCACTGACACCCCCTCCACTTGCTTCAAGCCTTCAAGCCTCTGTTCTTCCATTTTCGAGGTCTTATGATTTTTCTTTTCAGACTTTAAGTTTATGGCATGCTCGCCTTGGGCATGTAAACTTTCAGTATTTATGTCTACTTTTGCCTTCATTAAAAACGGCTTGTAAGGATAATAAGTTTCAATGTGAGATTTGTGAGCTTTCTAAACATACTAGAACCAGTTATATTTCTCATATGCATCGTGCACCTAGTATGTTTGATCTCATACATTCTGATGTGTGGGGTCCTTCTCCTGTTACTGCTTTTTCGGAGCATCGTTATTATGTCACATTCATTGATGATTATTCCCGTTGCACATGGGTATATTTACTTAAAAAGAAATCTGAAGTTTTTCCCTTGTTCACTCAATTCCTCCAAATGATCAAAACTTAATATAAAACTATTGTTAGGAATATTAGGTCTGACAATGGTCGTGAATATGTTTCCAAAGAGTTTCGGTCTCAACTTAACCAACAGGGTATTCTTCGTCAGCTTACTTGCCCATATACCCCTGAACAGAATGGTGTTGCAGAGCGTAAAAACCGCCAACTAATGTCAGTTGTTCGATGTCTTTTAAGTGGTATGAATGTGCCAAAGTTATTTTGGCACATGGCGGTTCTTACTTCTACTTTTCTCTTTAATCGTACCCTTAGTAGAGTCTTAAATGGTAAGGCTCCCTTACAAGTGCTTTAGCCTGATGTTACTCTTTTGTTTCATCATGCCTCGGGTGTTTGGATGTACATGTTTTGTTCAGAATTGTAGCCCTTCTCGTACTAAACTTGATGACAAGGCCTTTAAATGTATCTTTTTAGGATACTCTTCCATGTCAAAAGGTTACCGGTGTTATGATCCAGTTACAAACACATGTATCACTTTCTTGATGTCACCTTTCATGAGCATTCCCCTTTTTATGGTTCTAACACTATCTTGCAGGAAACTTCTACTCTCGATCAAGAGGCTTCTCATCTTGCTCGTCCTCTTCCTATTTTCCAAGAAGAGCCTTCTCTTGTTGTTTCCTCACTCCCTTTGCAGGTCTATTCACGCCGCCCTTGTGCTCCGCCTCAACTGCTTTCATCCTTCTTAGACTCAGGTTCAGGTACATCTCTCTCTCATTTACATTGCCCTGGCCCTGTTCCTGTTCCTGAGTCTCGGTATCTAACTCGGGACTGCAAACCCCCAGCTAGATTTGAATTTGTTTGTAGTACTGATCATTCTATTTCGCAGTATATCTCTTATAATGGTCTTTCAGGGTCTTACTGAGCCTTTCTAGGCAAACTTGATTCCATTTCCATTCCCAGAACGTTGTCTGAGGCTCTCCGGAATCCCAATTGGATGTCTGCTATGAAGGTAGAAATTGATTCTTTGCAGTATAATGAAACATGGGAGCTTGTATCTCTCCCTCCTGATGAAAAGACTGTTGGTTGCAAATGGGTATTCAGTGTTAAATATCTAGTTAATGGTTCTATTGATCGGTATAAAGCCCGCTTGGTGGCCAAAGGGTTTACTCAGATTCCTGGTAAAGACTTTAATGATACCTTCGCTCCTGTGGCTAAATTGACCTTAGTTCGTTTGTTTGTCTCCCTTGCTGCCTCTCACAATTGGCCTCTTCATCATCTTGATGTGAAGAATGCTTTCCTTAACGGTGATCTTCTTGAGACTATTTACATGGATCCTCCACCCGGTTTTTGGGCTAAGGGGGAGTATGCTGGAAAAGTCTGTTGATTGCGGAAGTCTTTGTATGGATTAAAACAATCTCATAGAGCTTGGTTCAGCCCCTTTAGTGATGTAATTCTATCCATGGAGTTTGTTAGATGTCATTTTGACCATACATGTTTTATCCGCCGTTCCTCCAATGGTCGATGTATTATTTTGCTTGTATATGTTGATGATATCATCATTACTGGCAATGACATCCGTGGGATTGCTCAAGTAAAGCTTCAATTGGCTAAAGCTTTTGATGTGAAAGACCTTGGGCAGCTCAGATATTTCTTGGGAATTGAGGTTGCTAGATCTAAGCAGGGTATCTCCTTATCGCAAAGGAAGTATGTCTTGAATCTTTTTCGAGACACGGGTATGCTTGGGTGTAAACCTGCTTCCACTCCTATGGATCCTAATCTGAAGATCTTGACTGAGTCTGGAGATCTCCTTTCTGATCCCTCGCAGTATCAGCGCTTGGTAGGAAGATTGATTTATCTTACCAACACCAGTCCTGATTTGGCTTTTGCGGTTAGTGTTGTGAGCCAGTTTATGCATGCTCTTCGTACAGCTCATATGGATGTAGTATATCGTATTCTTCGATATCTTAAGTCCTGACCTGGAGTTGAATTATTCTATTCTTCTAGCAAGCAAGTTGGGCTATCCTGTTTCAGTGATGCAGACTATGTTGGGTCCAAGACTGACAGACGTTTCAGATCTGGCTTCTGTACTTTCTATGGAGACCATCTTATATCTTGAAAAAGTAAGAAACAACCTGTAGTTTCGAGATCTTCAGCAGAGGCTCTGAGTATCGTGCCATGGCTCAGGGTACTTGTGAGATTCTCTGGCTTCAATCTTTCTTGGAGGAGCTAGGGCTAGGTGAAAAACAGTCCTCAGACTTGTTTTGTGATAATAAGTTAGCCATCATGCTTGCTTCAGATCTTGTTCTTTACGAGAGGACTAAACATATAGAGGTGGACATTCATTTTATCAGAGAGAAGGTTCGTTCGGGAATTATCAAGCCGTGATTTGTTCGTTCCTCTAATCAATCGGCCGATGTGTTCACCAAATTTGTTGGTCCATCTTTGCTTCATTCCTCGATTACCAAACTGGGCTTGGTTGATATCTTCACTCCAGCTTGAGGGGGAGTGTTGAAGTGTCTTTATTATTTTTATTTTTATTTTTTTTAGCTGTTTTTAGCCTTTTATTAGATGTTTTATGTAAGATCCCTATAATCATGGGATCATGTAGATAAGATCCCTGTAATTATGGGATCCCGTAGATAAGATCCCCATAATCATGGGATCCCGTAGATTTTGGCATATTTTATGTCTTTCTTTGATTTGGTTTTCTCTCTTTGTACTCTATTCTTGTATATAAATATAGATCTTGGCTCTCAGTTTGAGTAAGTCAAAATCCAAAACTTCTTCTTTTTGTATAAGAAGTCAATTTGAATTTTGTATTTGGTCTCAATATTTTGTAAATGAAAAATCATTTTAATTTATGCTCTAGTTTTATAGAATGTTTATCTCTTCTCTCATGTTTCAATTATTTTTCTTCTATTGGTCACTGTTTCAGTGGGATCTCTCACACTCATTTTTGGAATCTGAAGCATCATAATGCTTTAATTTATATTTATACAGATTTCAGAGACGCATTATTTTTAAATATCATATTTAAAAATTTCCATCGAGCCAAATACCAATCTGCTTGGCAATTTGCTTGTGTAGGATACAAAGGACAGGAGAATCCAAGAATTGACTATGGAGTTGGAGCGTCAGGATCGTTTATGTGACTTATATAGAGACCAGATAACTATGTTTCTGAGAAATGTAGAAGAGCAGACTGAACTGCTGTCGACGAAAATCGAAGTTGTTGTTAACAATGTAAGAGCATTAGAAAACTGACGTACAAAGTCTTCACACCATTGACATCCTAATCTTGACGAGTAAGTCAACCATGTTAAATTCTTAGTTTGCTAGGTAATTATTTGTTTTATAATGCATAAAATTTATGTTGTAAACTGTCTGCAGTATTTGTGGTTCGGTTGAACCCTTAATTTTTTTGAATTTTTCTTTCCATATATTTGAGTGCATTTAAAGCAAATTGACTGATGGACACCGGTGGCATTTGCATTTTTGCAATAGAGCAAGTCTTCATGGAAGTTTCTCAGGGCATTTGATGGTATCAAAGGTATGGGGCTGAGTTTCTCTTTTTGAAGTTCCTTGGTTAAGGTTGATAGGGTTTTTACCTGCACATAAATGTGGGAAATAACTGGCAGTGGCAGGCCTTGATGGTCAGTGCGGTTCCAATGTATGGGTGTGATCATATTTGCAATTTAGTTTGCGTATACCACTGACACTCACACACACAGACAGAGAGAGGGTACCCGGGTTTAAAGGGCTAGCCCCAGTGCATGAGGCTTCTGTCACTGCAGTGTCTGCGGAGGGTTAGTAACTTAGTACGGAGTATAATTAACAAATTGCACAGTAGCATGAAAATGTGAGAATTAAATTAGAAATGAGAAGATACATGTTTTGTGATTTACAGATAGCCAACCAAGCAAGAGCCCTAACAGCCATTTCTTGCTACAATCCCGACCGGTCCAGGATGTAACGATTTGACACCTAGCTAAGGTAGGGTTTGCTGGTCGAACCTTGCTTTGCCTCGAGTTGGTTTAGGTTGCAGAGAGCACAATTAATTGACAGAAAGGTTGGTCTGAATTTAGAGGAGGAAATTGAATGAATTTTAATGCTTAAGGTTGTATCTTTTACCAGCCATAATAATAATAAAAATAAAAATAAAAATAAAAAGACTGTTCATTTTAGTCTCTTTTTTAATGCAGGATGATGAGAAGAAGTGTTTCCTTTCAGCAACCCTCAAGAGGTGGTTGTCATGTTGTGTGTGTGTGTGTGTGTTTTTTTTTTTTTTAATAAATATTCCTCATTTTGCATAGAAAATCCAGTCATTACTTATATATGCAATTATATTCTCCAAGAATCATATGATGTAAATACCTAAAATATTTTTGAACGTAACACAAAGCATAAATGAGGGGATGGCCATAGGAAAAACAGATCAAAATCTGATTAAAATGATCAGAATATGAAAAATACAAATATGTATCCCATATAATATGAAACCCAGAAATACATTTTGATCTTGGGAGACATGCGTGGTACAAGAGGTACTATCCTACAAAAGGCTTACCTCCTTTACATCTACCTTCTACCCCAAAAATTAATCAATGTACATCTTTCCTTTTTATTTTGGAAAAATTTATATTTAAGCCGATGTGTTTGATCTAAAAACACAAGTCGAAATCTTATTTACCTTTGGATACTTAAAAACATATCTGAGGGATAAAATTCCTTCGGCTAGTGTTTTAGGTCTGAATTATCGGTTTGAGTTTTCGTTTTGGATTAATCTCAACCCAAGGCGGCGAACCCACCACCTTTCATCATCTGTCTGAACTCTATGAAGTTTACCATCCCATCCCCATCCACATCTACCTTCTTTATCATCAGCTTGCAGTCTTCCAGGTTTCTTCCTTGCTTCAACCCTAGCGATGCCAACACCGATTTCAACTCGTCCACGGTGATGAACCCGTCGCCATTTTGGTCGAACACGTTGAATGCTTCCATCATGTCCTCCTCCTCGTCCCGCTCATCCAGTAATCTCTCATACAAAGCACCGAATTCCTCTATATCCACAACCCCGTCTCCATTCACATCGATCCTTTCCATCATGTGGTTTAGATCTTTCTCGGGAATGTATATGCCCAGGTTCTCTAACGAGTCGCTGAGCTCCTTCTTCGAAATCATGCCATCCCCATTGTGATCAAACATTGAAAAAACCCGACGTAGCTCCGTGGCATCCATCTCTCCTATGAGCAAACCCTAGAACAAAGGTGCAGGCAAGGAGAGATGGCGAAAAGGAACGCCAAGCTTGTTGAGAGATGTGGAGCAAATGAGGGACGAAAGAGAAATGAATAATGCTAAAACATAACTGTTGTACAAAAACGATTTAGAGTTGTAGAAATAAGTAAGAAGATGGCAAATTTGGAAATAATTATTGTGGAGCAAAGTGTTTGGTGAATAGGGTTTCAAGGGGATGTGTGGTGGGGGTTGTTTAAGTGCAATACTCGTTGAGTGAAAAGTGGAGAGAAGTAATGGGCATCAGAAAAAACCAACTAAATTTGTTAAACCTTTTAATTCACATTTCATGACTACAAAATCTTTTAACTGTTTGCTTTCTGGTTAGATTAGAGGTTGGATTTTTTTATTTAAATTTTAGACCGTTGGGATATTGGGGGCTCAAGAGAAGGTAGAAGATTCCTTGTGGTGATTATGCATCCCTTCGGACGCGAATGCAATTGTGTAGAAAATGTATAAATTTTTTTCAACTTTTTTTTGTTTACGTCTATCATTGGTTGGAACTAATGATCCAGGGCCATCTAAAAAATTTGTATAATGTGAATATCGCCATATAGGTGGGGTGTCAATTTACTATATTTGGATGTGTTCGACCACACATGTGGAATGTGATGAGAACAATTACATGGTCTCGGGCCAATTATCACTGGACGCAAATAATTGTCACAAAAATATACAAGTTTTTTTTTTTAGCCTTTGCTTATGTGTCTAATGATAATGGTCAGAACCAATAGTCCCAAGACCATCTAAAAATTTGTCGCCCCACTCACCACATGACATCTCTTAGTTGGATGGTTATTTTTTTGAAAGGTTTGATTGGATTCTAAACAATAATTGTCTTTTCACGATAAAGGTGATAAAATTTGTTCCAACTTTATTTTGTTAATGGAGTCTCACGTGGACATTATTCAATGGCGCAATTGATAGAATGTCTAGCTCTCCAAACATGTACGCCGTGATCCTATCATCCTCTCTCCTAGTTTGCTAGTATATAAAAAATATATATATATTTAAGAAAGGTCCACCACCACTAAACCAATCCAAGACCCAGGGAGATTAAACCTTTCTCAACCATGTGTTGAGCATAAGGATTTAGAGTGGGGATGCAACTTGACCGGGCTAAATTGAACCTAACTCAACTCTAAATCGATCTTTAACGGGTTTGAACAATTATTTTTACAATTTAAGTTAAGGTTTTTTAAACAAAATTTAATTATGGTCGGACTTGGGTTAAGATGTCAGCAATCCAAACCCAACTTAAACCTAAATTATAATTTTGTTTATTTTTATATTTTTAATTTTTTAATATATGTTTCAAATTATTGATTACACTTTCTTTTACTTAAATATTTATTTATTATGAGTATATAATAATACTTTGGAGAATTAATTATCTAAACAATTGTTTTTAATTTTTTAAAAATTTACATCATGTTTTTATTTTTATTTTTTATTAATGCATTTAATTCGAAAGGACCAAAACTAATACCGAGATTAACTCAGTTTTATAGTTGAGTCTCTAAAAATGATGGGACACGCCTGGGTATAGGTCTTGGCCCGTAAGCTTGCCACCGAGGTCAGTGATAATTCTTTTTTATAAAATATAGAGTCTTATGCAAACTTGATATTGAGAAAGTGTATGATTATGTGAATTGGAATTTCCTTTTATATTTGCTACAGAGAATGGGGTTTGGAAGTTGATGGAGGAAATGGATTGAGACATGTATTTCATCTGTCAAGTTCTTTGTTCTTGTGAATAGATCTCCTATTGGTTTTTTTGGGAGGACCCGGGGTTTAAGACAAGGAGATCTTTTGTCGTCTTTCCTTTTTCTAATTGTTATGGAGGGCTTAAACAGACTTATGCGAAGGGCAGAGGACCTTGGTCTTATTAAGGGCTTTAGAGTGGGTATAGATCTAATCCATCAGGCGGAGATCTCTCATCTAATTTTTGCGGACGACACCCTGGTCTTCTGTGATGCTGATGTGTGTCTCAACTTAGATATTTAAGGTGCATCTTGGCATGCTTTCAGGCAGTTTTTGAGCTGAAGGTCAATGTGGCTAAGAGCGTGCTTGTCCCGATAAGGGATATTCAGGATATTTCCTTTTTAGTTGTAGTCCTTGGGCGTAGGGTGAGTTCTTTCCCTATTCCTTATTTGGGCTTGCCCCTAGGGGTTTCCTCCAGGAGAGTGGGGAGTTGGGACCCTGTAATTGATAGGTATACGAAGAGATTGGCAGGATGGAATAAGCAATACTTGTCTAAAAGGGGTAAAGTTACTCTTATAAAGAGCACTTTATCGAGCCTTCCCACATATTTTTTTTATCTATGTTCCAAATTCCATGCTCCGTTGTTGATAGGATTGAAAAAATTCGAAGGGATTTCCTTTGGGGTGGAGGGGGCGAAGAGTTTAAGTATCACCTTGTCAGATGGGAGCAAGTTTGCAAGCCCATGAAGTTGGGTGGTCTTGGTATCAGAAGATTGGTTCCTTTTAATGAAGCTCTCTTGGGTAAATGGTTGTGGAGATACGGGAGGGAAAGACATCACCCTTGGTGAAGGCTAGTTTCATGTCGGTTTGGGGAAGAGAATGGCGGTTGGTCTACCCATCCAATTCTTCTTGTGGGAGGAGTCGGGGTGTGGAAATCCATTTGAAAGGGATATGATGTCTTCTCTTCTCACATCAGATTCAAAGTTCGTGATGGCAGATGCGTTCGTTTCTAGGAGGATCTTTAGTGTGGTGACCTACCATTATCTCATACATTTCCTAGATTATATAGTATTGCAGTTGATAGACACGCCTACGTAGCTGACTGTTATCGGCTTGATAGTAGTGGGATTACGTGGGACGTGCACTTTAGGCGTTCCTTTTAGGATTGGGAGTTGGATAAGGTATGTGTTCTTCTGAATTTGTTGTATCGGCATGAGGTAGTTGGCAAAAGGCAGTGACGATCTGCATGGATTCCCTATTCCCATGGCCGTTTCGAAGTGCGATATTTGTTCTTATGTCTATCTAATTTTGTTAGCCTTGACTTTCCGTAGAAGACCATTTGGCGTTCTATGGCTCCAACGTGGCATTCTTTGTATGGACCGCTGTATGGGGTATGATCCTAACGATTAATAATTTGAGGAAGAGGGATAACTGTTTTGTTAATTGGTGTTGCCTATGCAAGCAAGATGATGAGTCAGTTGATCATATCCTCATGCATTGTCTTGTGGCGTACGATTGTTGGAATCTTATTCTTGGGTTATTTGGCATGCGTTGGGTAATGCCACGTTCTTCTAAGGATTTGATTCATGCTTAGAGAGGATGTCGTGTGAGAAGTGGTGTGCGCGATTACTAGAGAATTGTCCCACATTGCGTTTGGTGGTGCATCTAGAAGGAGAAGAATAGAAGAATGTTCGAAGGAAATGAGTCGTCTACGGCGACGTTGAAACTTTATATTATTCGCTTTCTTTTCAGTTATGTGAAGAGGAGTTCTTGTTTTTCTTCCGATAATTTAATCATTTTTTTGGATTCTTTGGGGCCTTAGTCCATGGTTCCACTTTTGTATAAGGGACTTGTTCCCCTTTTGAACGCCTTTTTATTTAATTCTTACTTATCAAAAAAAAAAAATGAGTAAATTATAATGACACTGCGATTTGTCACATTGACAGTCATATGAATTGAACGCATAAGACTAAAAAACAGTATTCCTTCTTCTTTTCTTTTCTTTTTTTAAAAAATAGAGTTGATAAGTTGTAATTGGTTCGTGACTGAACGAGTACTTAAATGAAAACAAAGCAGGTTCCGATAGATCGAGCTTAAGAACAGAAATTTGGCTACGTCAATTAACTAGTAAAATCCTTTCAAGTTAATTAAAGCAAGATCGGTAGTGATATACATGTTGGGTGTTTTATGAACAATGACACCTCTTTAGGTTTAATAAAGTTGACAAAGACACCTCCACTAGCCACCTGCCACATCTGACGTGGAATTGACTAACTTGACCTTTGACTTGTTAGTTTACCTTTTTAAATTTACAATTTAACTAAAGGAATTGACTAACTTGTCCTTTGACTTGTTAGTTTACCTTTTAACTAGAAGAATTGACTAACTTGTCATTTGACTTGTTAATTTATCCTTTTAACTTTACAATTTAACTAGTTGGTAAGTATTTCGATTGTCTAACTTTATTTATTTTTATTTAGGGTTAAGTATAATGACACCCTTCAGGTTTGCCATAAAGACACCTATATACAAGTTAAGTCTTTTTTGGACAATGACACCCTTTGTCAGAAATTGAATCTAAACAACCCTTTAAGCAATGTAAAATGTCAAAACTGTCCTTTAATATATTTTTTTATTTAAATTATAAAATATCAGAACTCTTAAATGACACTTTTGTCCTAAGTATACCCTTATTACACATCACTTCTTCGTTCACCGCCACCACCGCTACCACAATAGAAGAAACACACCAATAACTACCACCACCGCCGCCACCACCACCAAACCCATAGCCTCTAAAACCCTAACCCTAAGTAACCCACCACTAAGCACCATCACCTTCAAACACCCAAATCTTCAAGATATACACACGTGCCATGCACGTGATGAAAAGTTATTTTATAATCTTAATTAAAAAATTTATATAAAAATTATCAAAATAAATTCACTTTTTCAAATAATTGATTAGTTTCTTTTTTAAGTAATTAAAATTTTAAATATTTATGAAGCTGAATGTGGAATGTGTTGTCAAGATTAAAATTTAATATGAAAACCTGAAGTGTAAAGGGTTGCAATTATTTGTATAATGAAATATATACTATTTAAAAACTTATGGACAAGGAAATATATAATATTACAAAAGTTATTATTTTACTTAATAAATGCTGACATGACATAATTAAACAAACACATAAAGATCAAAAAAAAAAAATCAAAATGATTAATGCAATTCAAAGACTAATTTACCTGTAATAAAACAAAGAATTTTTAACCATGCTGCGAAATTGATCAATTAAAATAAATTAAGATATTTTTTTAAAAATAAATGAAGTCATCATCAAAAAAAAAAAAAAAAAAAATCAATGCAATTTAAAGAAATTACTACTAAAGTTGACAAAAAACATAATGTATCTTTAATAAAATAAAGAATTAATGTACACCTATAATAAAACAAAATATTTTGAACCACGACA